CTCCACACCAGCTACCCTGGCCTTGTGGTTGTTTCTCAAACACAGTCTCAGTCCTACCCCAGGGCCTTTGCACCCGCTGGTCCCTCTGTCTGAACCACGCTTCTAGGTCTTTGCTTTAACCGACTCCCTGTCATTTGTCTCAAATATCACCTCCTCAGAGAGGCAGCCTTTCCTGGACGTCATATCTAAATCTCCATTTACCATCCTGCAGTTTAATTCCAGTGCCTTTTCATCACAAGACTGGAGTTCTCCTGTGATAGTATTTCTGTTTCCATAGCTTCTTTTCTACCTCCCACAGGAGAATTTAAGCTCTACAAGGGCAGGAATGTCCCAACCACCACAGCGTCTCCAGCACTGGATCATAGAAGGTCATGTTTCTTTCATGATTCTCAGTTGCCGTCAACAGAATCCACTTCTGGCTGATTTGTTACTGTGTGAATTCCGAGACCACAGACCTCTTGGCTTCCCACACATTCTTCCCTCAGTCCTGCTGCTTTTTTGGGACATTCCACCCCTAGCCTGGTGGGCAGGCATCTGTGTAGCCCCCCAAATCCTTGTTCAGCTTTGCCTCTTGGAAGCCTCAGGGTCTCTGGTCCTGCAACCTGCGACTTCCTGTGCAGGCAAATAGGACGAGTGTCGCAATCCTCCTTACGTGCCGGTCTCCCGCGCACCCAGGAGTGGGAGCTCCCAAGGGCTGGGACTTTATCTGAGTCACCTAAGTCACCCTCATTCTACGGGTTGTTAGTGTGCTCCCTAAGTGCCAGGTGCCGTGCTGAGCATTTTACCTGTCTTTCTCATTCCTTCCTTCAGCCCAGTCAACCCATGTTCACTGAGCACTTACTACGTTCCAGTGATGGGGGTCCCAGGGGGAATAGAACTGGCAAAAAACAACCCCGTGGCCTGAGGAGCTCACATTCTGACAGGGAGACAAAGAACAGATCATTAAACGTGGATCTATACAGTAGGTCATAAGGTCTAAGGGTTCTGGCCGGGCATGTGGCTTGTGCCTGTCATCCCAGCACTTTGGGAGGCTGAGGCAGGAGGACTGCTGGAGCCCAGCCTGGACAACACAGCGAGACCTCATCTCTACAAGAAAATGCAAAAACTAACTGGGCGTGGTGGTGCCTCATCTCTACAAAGTAATAATGAAGATGATAATGATACTTCTAAGAATGATAATAATATCTAAGTATTCTGAAGAAAAGTAAAGCGGCGAAGGAGAATGGGGAGTGTGTGGGTGGATGGGGCCGTTTCAAACAAGGTAGTCAGGGAAGCCTCCCAGAGAAGGTGACATGGAGCAAAGGAGGGGAGGGAAGGAGGATACGGACACCTGAGGGAACAGTGTCCCAGGCAGAGGGAACTGCCAGTGCAAAGGTGGGAGGTAACCTAATGGAGAAGCCAGTGTGGCTGGAGCGGAGTGGGTGAGTGGGTGAGAGGAGGGGGTGAGGGCCGGGAGGTGACAGGGACAGGGCGTCCAGGGTCTCGGGAGCCTGAGTGAGATGGGGCTACGAGGGCTCTGATCAGGGGATGGATGGGGTCTGATGCAGGTTGTGGGTGGGAACAGACTTGAGAGACAGTAATGGAGCAGGGAGCCCAAAGTGTTCACGGGAAACGAGTGTAGACAGGACCAGGGTGGGCACCCTGGAAGTCGCAGAAGTGGAGAGATTCTAGATGGATTTTTTTAAATTGTAAGGATGTGAAGTACAAATCAGGATTAAGTACATAAGTAATGTTATTTGTAGGTGAAGTTTGGGCCTGCAACGGATCCTTTCTTCCCCTGGTTTAAGATCAGGTACCCTTAGTGATGTTATGTGCTCCCTCTCCTTCCCCTGGCACTGGCTTGCTACTGACAATTCCTTTCTTTTTTTTTTTTTTTTTTGAGTTGGAGTCTCACTCTGTTG